ATTTTTTTGGTCTTAAATTTGTATCCCTCTGTTGAATAGTGAAACTAATTTTAATAATAATTTCTGGCGTAAAATTTGCATCATTCTGATGATTAGAGGGAAGCTACTTTACTGAAAATTTATGATGAAAAATCTAAAAATATGGGCAAGCATTATTTGGTGAAATACCTGCAACTTTCTGATGATAGGAGAAGCAGTCTTTATTGAAAATGTCTGGTGGAAAAAGGAAATCTGCACCAATCAGAAGATTGGAGAAGCAATTTTTATTGAACATTAACGGTGGAAAATTGGCAGCGGTAAAATTATCTGGGGGCAAGTTTGTATTAAATATTTCTGGTGTAAGATTTCAGTCAGTCTGCTGCATAGAGGGGCAAGCTGAATTGAAAATTCCTGATGTTAAAATTGCACAGTTCTGGTGAATGGAGGGGCAAGCTTTATTGAAAATTTCGGATAGAAAAACGTTTTGATGAATGGACGGACAACTTAAACTTGACTTCCGAGAAGAACCTCAAGGGTATTGGATTCTGAGGACAGTTCCAAAAGAAAAGATGTCTGGGGATGATTTGATGAAAATTCTGCGAATAGTTTTTTAGTGAATCCTGCAGATAGTTACAAGATAATTTCGAAAAGAATACCGAGAGAATTAAATTTTGAATGAAATTCCAAAGGGATGTTGAGGAAAATTTAAAAGGAATCCCAATGATAATTTCAAGCTCATTCTGGGAATACAGAATACAGAGGAAATTCTTCTGAAACTTTAAAAATAATTTTAAAAAATAAATAAAATTAGCTAAATTGAACAGTAGGGAAACGGTGGTGGGAGGACAGCACCATCCACCACGCACTTTGAAGTACTCCCCATCCCCAGATTAAATACACCATAGAAAAAAAAATTGCCCCTCCTTAACAAGATTCCTGTGCACGCTAGTGATTTTAGCAGCGTTGGAAAAGTTCGCGATATTGCACGAAGTTTATCATTGGAAAAAAAAAAACGTAGTTCGTAGTGAATTTTGGTGAACTTTCTAATACTGAATGTGAGTATTCATCAAGCTATAGATGCTTGATGCTCATCGTTCCAAACTTAAATCCAATCTTCGCAGGGTGCATGAACATGGTACTCTTCTTTTCGTACGGAATAACATAACGAATCATTTTGTAGGTGTTCCGCCATCCCTGTCGTATAGTTGGGATCCATTTGCTTGATGTTGATGAAAGTGGTGGTGTGACCTTCCGAATTTATCATCAAAGGCAATCGTCTCTAGAGTTAACTCGTTTTAGCCGTCTTGACTGCCTTATCGACAAGACGCTCTGGACCGGTCATGGTGTAGATGAAATCGACTGAAGTTAGGCCCGAATAGAAGTTGTTCTAGATGAAAACACGATCTGCTGGGATTTTTGCTGTGATTCGAAAGAGACGGACTTAGTTTTGCTAGGTTTGAAGAGATTCATGATTCAGACAATACGTTTTTACTTTGTATCCGCGGTCTCTCGTATACAACACATACCTCGTCTAATTTAACATAGCATTTGCAATGCAAAATTAGACGAGTTTATATTCCCCCGGATATTGTTGAACATGGTTGAACCAACAATCAATACGAAACTAACGATTTTAAATTAGCTCACCACTTGATTAGCCTATTGGTCCCAAGCAAATCGATTAACGTACCCCTTTTTAGTATAAATTCCAGTACTACACTATGTTTGTTTTGATTCGCTATGAAAGTTTGACAGATAAAATGTTCGTGGATTTTCCTCTGTTTCGAGAGGTGCATCGATTAGCTTGGGACCGAAGATAGTACTAGAGCTGAGCCAGAAAGTTGAGTTCGTTTCTTCGGGACCTTCTAGTCTTAGAGTTACCTCTATGGTTGAACCATAGAGGTAACTCTTAGACTAGAAGGTCCCGAAATAACGTGCTCAACTTTTTGGCTCAGCTCTGGTACTCTCTTCGGTCCCAAGCATATCGATTCACCCCTCGAAACATAGGAAAATCCACTAACCCCTCATTTTATCTGTCAAACTTTCATAGCGAATCAAAACAAACATTGTGTAGTACTAGAATTCGACTAGAATGGGGTACGTTAATCGTTTGCTAGGGACCAATAGGCTAGTCAAGTAGTGAGCCAATTTAAAATCGTTAGTTGCGTATTGATTGTTGGTTGAACCATAGAGGTAACTCCAAAGATGAATACTAAGATGAAACTGTCGGAAGAAAACTTTCTATTTTAGTATCCTCTTTCACGGTCCCTTTCATCCAATGAATACCCCCCGTATTCAAGGTAATTTTGTGGTTTTGCTGCCCCCTCGGTAGAGATGAAATTTTGCGCTCATTTTTATCAAAACAATCACACCAAAATCAGAGATGTCCTATTTTTAATTACTCGATTAACAACCCTAATAAAAATAACCATACAAGAGAGTTTAACGACGTGTTCGGGGTATCATCCAAACCATGCGTGGGATAGTTTACCCATCCGGGATGCAGTTCGTTTATGGTATTTGTTTATTAGGGAACTAATCGATTATTTTTTTGTTCGCTGTGCTGCCATTTTTCCACCAATGAGAGTGCAGCACATGTTTGAAACGATCGGTGATGATCTTCTGGAGATGTTAATGCTTATATCGGCATGATATAACCGATTACAAATATTTTACTTTTCGGTTCGTTAATCGATTAATCGATTATTCGAATGAAAATCGGCCATCACTAAATGAATGTGAAACGTAATTTAAAATATAAGGACCGTACATTAATAATGATACGATTTGAAAGGGACCGGGGATAATCACAAATTACGTCCCCACGGTAACTGAAATAAACACGAGTGTTTACCGGTTGGTAACTCTAAGACTAGTAGGTCCCGAAGAAACGTGCTCAACTTATTGGCTCAGCTCTGGTACTATCTTCGGTCCCAAGCATATCGATTCACCCCTCGAAACATAGGAAAAACCAATAAGCCCTCATTTTATCTGTCAACTTTCATAGCGAATCAAAACAAACATTGCGTAGTACTAAAATTTCGGCTGGAATGGGATACGTAAATCGTTTGTTTGGTATCCCCCCACCACCACTGGCAAAAAGAGATGATCACCGACTCGCTCATGTACCGACGATGTGTTTGAAACAGTTCTATCGATTTTACCGCACTCAAGTTGTTATCTGAAGGAAGGCATCCAGTCGTAGGTTTGGAAATTAGCGCCGTTTAATTGCCATTTTAGCTATTCAAACTAACGGGGTTCTACGGTACAACGTCTATTCATTAAGGTTCCCCCAAACTGGCGCGTTTTTAACGCGGCGGCAGCGAATAATTCGCGGCGGAAAATTCGCCGCGTTTTAAATGCATGGCGGCTTACGGAAGCGCTCAAATCAACGCGGCAAGTTGCGCTGTTCGCGCGTTTTGGCAGCGTTTTTTTTTGCGTTCGCTTTCGATTCGCTGTCTGCAGCGTTTTTGCCGCCGAAGAATCGCGGTTTTTGTACCGAAAGTGATTTTCAGGAGATAAAAAATGACAAAAAACGGAAACCTTAATGGGATTGGTTCGAAACTATTTTTTCAAAGATGTCTGAACTTGTAAATTTAATGTACTGCTCCCTGAAATTTGATCAACATCTCAGACTACCATTGGAATTTCTACAATATTTCCATCTACAAAACTCCCTGAATCCCCCGAAATTCTTCAAATTCTAGCAGAGCTTCTATGTAGTTCCAAGAACTTCTACAAAATTTCTTGCTCTACTTGGAATTCGCTCAACTTGTACAAAGATCGGTAAACTGCTATAAACTCACTGCCCTTCAAAGAAGCTTCCGGAGAAGAAATCAAAGGTATTTGTGAGAATAGTTGACCCACGATTTGAACAATTGCATATGCTATGCTAAATCTAAGGAATATGTTAGTAAAACTACATTTATTTATAAGGAGAATTTAGAAACTACGAGATGAATTCCAAGGGAAGGAGAAAATCCAAAGCGATTTTAGAAATAAATTCAGTTCTGAGAATAATTCCATTGATTTTTGAGGAGTATGACAAATGAATGCAAAGGTGAGTTCCGAAGAAGCATTTAGTCGAACTAAAAAAAGTTTCCTGAGATAACTCATCTGAAATATCGGGAGAATACTAAGAGCGAACTCAATAAACTGTCCGAGAGTTCAAAGTTCTTCGAAAAAATCTAAAAAGATACCAACATGCTCAGAAATTATCGTAAACACCCAAGACTTCAGTATGATCATTCTTCTGGAATTATTCAACAGCTCAACTGGGTATGAAAGGTTTGCAAATTTCTCTATAGTTAAGCGAACTTTCCTAATGTTCTGTCTAGGAAATTTCCCGAAGATCTGCAAATTTTTCTGATGATATGCATTCCAGGGGAAGATAAGTTTGTAATTTTTTCTAAAGATTGACAAACTTTCTTTAAAATTCCATGAACTTCCGTGATCACAAGTGGTGAGAAATCTGTAATATCAAACATTACTGTACACAAATATCACTAAAATGAAGGAAATTTCCAAATACTCCAACGCATTTTCCTCTGCTTGTAAAGAAACTAGCAAAAGCACCTCTTCTTCATCCGACGACGAATTCATTGCTCACGATCGCAACGACGCAGCGAAAAAACTGCCGCTTAGGTGTGGGTACCCACGCGAATTTCGCTATCGCGGTTAACGCGATTTATTCGCTACCGTTGCCGCGGCGGAAAAAAGAGGAAAGACAGTAATTTTTTTGCTGCCAATAAGCTTATACAGGTAATTTTTCACCCATATTCATGTTTTTGTTCGAACCATTCGAAAAAATAAACATGGTTCGAACGGTTCGATCGAAAGCAAGAATATAGGTGTTTGCCTATGTAAGCTAGCTAGCAACTTGAATTGTTTTTTGGGATATGTGGAAGAGTTCTAGAAACTGTTGTTTTGGTTTTTAAATCCTTGCAATGGGGCGATTTCAGTCGAATCACACAAAATCACTGTTGTTTTGCTTTGTAAATCTATCCGTATCTCGTTTACAGTGAACCTGCCGCTCCTCCACCTGCACCCGTTGTCGTTACACCTACGGATGCCCCGAAACCGGCCGTATCCAAGACCTACACCAATGCTCGTATTCAGATCCGCATGATGGACGGTACCACTCTGGTGGAAACCTTCGATGCCAAGGAACAACTGTCTGCGGTGCGATTGTTTGTCCAGCTTAAACTGGGCAGCGCTTCGTCCCCGTTCGGCCTGATGACAAGTTTCCCGAAGAAGGTCTTCACAGGGGATGACTTCGACATTTCGCTGGAAAAGCTAGGACTGGTTCCGTCGGCTGTACTGATCGTTACGAAGACCCCCTGAGATGATAATGCGATTTGAGGTGAAACGGAAGTTTTGTATGAGTCGGCGAAGGATGTGAAGTGTTGGAAATAAAACAGTGGCAAATTGGTTCGGAATATTTATTGGTTTTGTCGAAAGAAGCGAAAGAATTAAAAAAATCAGCTTATCTGCTTTTGTCTTCACTTTAAGTAGAGCTGAAAGAAAGCATACATGATTGTGTGAATTGAATTGAATGTTTTATAGATAATGCTTCCATTATCACTACGCGTAGGAATCAGGTCGTTTCGTTTTCCTGGTAAATACCAATAATGCTAAAAGTTAAGGTAATATTTACAATGATTTGCTTGCATTCCAGGACAAGCGCGATTTTGTTAAGAAGGCCGAATTGTAAACTAAAAATTCGTAATATTCACAATGCTTTTTTGTTGTTCAGTAATTTACATGATAGTGTTGATTGCAGATTTATGTTTAAATATGAAATAAAACTGTTAGAACTAATCCCGCTAATTCTGCGAGTAACGTGACTCTTTGTCACCGGTGAGGTGACAATTGTCACCTCGTGTGAGATGACTCTCCGTGCAAATCAAATGGAGAGTTACCTCACACGAGGTGACTATTGTCACCTCAACGGTGAGAGAGAGAGAGAGTCACGTGACTCGCAGAATAGGGGGGAATATCAATCAAGTTAAAAAAAAAAACTAAAAAAATGTGGCCGACAATTTTGATGTTCGTAGAGTAGATCCATAATCGTCAATTAAAATCAGGAGAAAGGCATTTCAATCTAACCTATTGTGTGATCTGTTGTTCACATGGTTGTCCACTTGAGCAACTGAATAAATTTGTAGATATTGACCAGTATCTTCATCGTTTTGTTTTCCTGTGCTTTCTTTCGTTTATACTCTTCTAAAAATTTCATGTGTAGATCATACGGTGACATGTGCATCTTGTCGTACCGGGACAAGGGTACCGTCCCCGGATAAAAGATTGGTTTGTTAAGATTACAGTTGGTAATCAGTTTGCCCCCTGGTCGGTCGATGAAGACATCCTCGAACAAAATTCCATCACAGTCTGTTAGTTCCATGTTCTTGTTAAAGCATATGCGGATTTCGTTCATAAATTGCAGCTTCGTTTCTTTGTCGTGATAGCATTCTATAGCGGCATTCTTTTGGAAACGATCCATTAAAACCTGGTGGATCGCAACCACGGTATAATTGCCTCCTGGAGTAACTCCTCCTTCGCCAAGAACATCAGCCATTGAGTGTTGCTGCAACCAGGTTAGCCCTTGGCCAAAATATTTGTCTTCTGTGTTCAGCTGAACCAAAACGGCCGCAGCGCAGGTGCCATGCTTGAGCCACTCGTGGCGCCACAGGGAATCAAAGGGTTTATTCTTTTCCACATTGATCCAAAACTGTTCCAGCTGGGGTTCGATGGCACTAAGTTCGTTCACGTCAAAAACTGCCGACTTATTGCAGAAACTAGGCCCTATGGTGTTCAGCTTTGTTGGCCAAATTCCATGGATCGTCCAGATGTTTTTCGGTGACGGTAATCCACAGATATTGCTCGAACTTTTCTCTCGCCATTCATAACAAGCCGTGATGGGCCATCGTTGGGTAAATATTAGTAAATCAAACTCTGGATCTTCTTCGAGCAGGGCTTCATTCAGAGCTTCTTCGGAGGATGAACTGTCCTCCTCGGATGAACTAGAATTATAGAGATAAAATGTTCGTTAATGTTAGGGAAAACACGTCGTTTTTGTTTCAGGAATGGATTGATTCTTCTTCAAATTTTGATCCAATTAGCAACCACAAGACGTAAAATTGAAACCAACTAAAAGCAGATTCATCCAGTTTAGTATTGGAACCTTTATCCTTAATACATTTTCGAATGACGTTCGCATAATGAGATTAACCGAAGTCACAATCACATAGCCAACCCCTATATTATGCACTATCAGGGGTGACAGTAGTGTTCATAAAAAAGCATTAGATAACGTCGTTTTGCTTTGTTGTGCTATTCTGCTCGCCAAAATACTGATTGTTTGTATTCCACACACATGGAGACACTCGATTAGGTTTGTGGCGTAATTGGTTTGCGAAGAAGAGCCTTCGCACTTTTTGTCGTATCAATTTTCGACTTTCTTTTGCGTAGCAAAAGCCTTGCGAATTCCACTCACCTATCCGTCCGGACGAAGCACTGTAGGTAGAATAATACGGAGAAGATGGCCAGATGTTCCAGTTTCATCTTGGGTGAAATTTTTTCACTGTTGTGTTTCGTTTGCGTCGAATGCTTTCACCTGCCCATTGGATGATTTGAGTGGTATAAATCCTGCTCCTGTTAAAATCCTTTTTAACTCCTCCTGAACTGCTATCACCGTTGAGTAAGCTATCAATAGTGATTCTTCTCGATTGGTACCGTAATAAGACGAACCGGTTTAGTATAAATTAGCCTTATTTTCTTCGCTCAGTAACAGAAGATGTTTTTCTTTTGCGACTGAGTCATGTAAAATCAAAATATAAAATGAAAACTTTACTTTGCATCTTTCAGTTGTCATTGACTGGAGTGAACTCGAACTGTCAGATTCTGTCAGGAGTAGTTGAAACGTTTGGGGCTAGGAATGTGTGCTCCCATTAGAGCTTTTTCGATGCAAAAAAGCGAAACTTTGAAGCTTCGTTTACAGTAAAAGCCTGAATTTAGGCTCTTTAGTATATAGTACACAAACGATCAGAACAACTTAAAATTGAGTCGAGTCGACTCAATTTTAAGTTGTTCTGATCGTTTGTGTACTATATACTACACGGTCAATCTGGAATACTCATTTTATGAGTATATTTTACGTATTTTTCAGTATACAACGTATACGTCAAAAGATGAGTAATTTTAAGTTCACAATAGGGAGTAATAAATATGCATTTTCATAAATTCATCAAGAAATCAAAAATGCGTTAAAAGTAGTAACTATTCAGAAAGGACAATTTTCAGGTTTCTCTGCTTTCTCCATTTTGCATTTGCTTGAACGTTCTTTGCTGGCGGTTTGTTTTAAGCATCGTTGCGTTTTTGTTTCGTGAAACTCGTAGAAAATGGACCAATTATCGAAAATTCTGGACAAAGAAACTTTTGAGAAGCTTGCTGGTAAGTTTTTTTTAATTAATATCAGTTTGTGCTGTTTAACATTGTTAAAAACTCATAAAAGGTCTCCATTGCCCCGTGACCGGATGCACTTCGTTCATACCAGGTTATGTCGAAGAGTTGAAAACACACATCAAGCAAATTCATAAACTTAATACGAGCTTGAGGAATTCAGTGCCTTTACGATGTGCTAACTGCGGCACCATTTTTACGTGCTTCAAGCGAATTAAGGACCACATATTAAGGCATCACAAGCCCCACACAAAGCCAAGATCGGAGTGTGAAAATCCTTCTGATCCGCAGGAACCAATGGAAGTCGAGGACGAAATTGGTTTCATGAATGACGAAGGAATCACGAATCCTAATTATTTTACGGGTTCGGTCTCACGCGAAGAGTTACATGGGATCGCTTCGTCTTTTATTACAACGATGCGTTGTGATGTTTCTTTAACAGAAACCAAAATCAAAATGTTCATGGAACATTCTAACAACATCTTGGATAACTATCAACGGTTCGTTTTGGGTCTTGTGAAAAACTTGCTAACTTCAAAAAATCTGGATACCACTGACAACGATGTGATCAAGCTGATCAACGAAATGTCGATATCTGATGTGTACACCGACGTTAGGAATCCGAACAGTAATATGTCGTATCTTTCTGGAACAGCACTTTGTAGTGTACCGGAACCAGTAGAAGTTGTGCTAGGCACGCGAAAGGTATTACGAACTATTCGCTATCAACGAGAAAGCAGTAGAAAGACCAGGAAGGTGATTCGAGTTATTAAGAAAAACAACACGGTTAAGGATACCATGCACTACATTCCTATTAAGGATACTATTTCCTTGATTATGAAAAATTCTAGCGCAAGAGAAATGGTTGCGAGAGAGATAAGGAGCGACGAGCAAGGGCATCGTAATGTGCTAAATAGTTTTAAGGACGGTGCTCTATTCAGAACTAACGAGTTTCTTCAAAAATACCCATTCGCTCTACGAATCTCCCTTCATGTAGATGACGTAGAAACTTGCAATCCTCTCGGTTCACGAAAAACCAAACAAAAATTGACTATTTTTTCATTCAAGTTGCAAAATATCGCAGATAAAATCAATTCAACAGTCGACCGTGTTTATGTTTGCCTAGTGGTGAAATGTAAAACGGTTAAAAAATACGGAATCAAACAAATCGTTGAACCTTTAATCAAAGATTTAATCACGCTACAGTCTGATCAGGGGATCACTATACAAATGAATGGTAAGAGTTTTACAGTTCGAGCTACTTTGGTTCACATTCTTGGTGACACCGCTGCCATTCATGAGCTTTTGGAATTAATGCCTCCGCAATCAAACATTTTCTGTAGAGCATGTTACATAACACGAAAAGACCTACACAACGGTAGATTCGGAAATGAACACACACTAAGAACTAGTGAAAGTTATGAACTAGATCTAGCAGCTGTTAACAATGGTTCCTTGTCTCCGGCTCAATGTGGAGTAATTCGAGAAAATGTTTTCAATTCTTTGAAATATTTTCATATTACACAAAATATGTCATTCGATCCCATGCATGATGTGTTAGAGGGGATAATCCCTCTAGCTATCAAGAAAATCCTTAATGATTTTGTCAACATTTCCAAATCTCTTACTGAAATTGAGTTAAACTCGAGAATCTCCAATTTCGATTACGGTACAGCGGAGAGTAAAGATAAGCCAAGTGCCAATTTTTCAGCCAAGAGCTTGAAAACTACTGGTCATGCACTAAGTCAATCTGCCTCACAGATGTGGCTCTTTCTTCGAGCGACTCCTTTCCTTTTTACTGATTTGTTATCTAAAAATGTACATTTCATGAACATCATACGTGATATTCTGAAAATAACGTTCTATTCCTTCTCGAACACACTAACAACTGATATGATCGAAGATTTTAAAAACACCATCAACAATTTTCAAATAAACTTTAAAATTTGCTTTCCTTTAACCAAGCCTACAAACAAAGTACATCACGTCACACACTATCCTAAAATCATTGAGGATAATGGACCGATTGCGAAAATGAGCTGCCTTCAGTTTGAAGCCAATTTCAAGAATTATTATTATTTAGCTTTATTTAGGAGGCTTTCAGCCTTAGGCTGGTTCGCCTCCAATCCAATTTCAAGAACTGCAAATCACAGACAAAAACTTGTGGTAACTTCAAAAATATTACACTAAGCCTGACAAACAGAACTAATCTTAAGCAAATCAATGCAATCCTTCAACACAGATATGAAATCGACAAAATTACAATTGTGTCTTCAGTGGTGGTTAAAAAAGCTTATTTTGATTTTCATTTAATTTTGTTCGATCTTCCTGAATACATCAGATGCATAAAGCATGCGAAAATTAATGGAACTTCGTTGCGACCTGACTTAGTAGTCAAATACAAGTCATGTGGCTCTGAATCATATGGGGTCTTGAAGGCAATTATCGAAAATAACAATGACTATACATGCATAATTTATGTTCTAGAGATAATAAGATTCTGTGAATTTTATAACAGTTATGAAGTAAAGATGACTGAAAAAGTAGTAAGAGTTCCAGTCAGTATTGTATGTACTAGAAAAACGTATAGTTTTTGGAAATGCCACAACATGGATAATTCACTTTTCATAAGCTTGAAATATGAAGATTAGAGTAAGGAGATTGTTGATCTCAATAAATTATTTTTTTCAAACTAACGCAAAATATGTTTTCTTTGATACATAATATCACAGTACAGTTCTTACGATACTTACACTAGAAAAGTAAGAACCTCATAGCAATTAATAAAAAAAAAAAAAAACTTTCTCCTCTACTTTGAGTATCGTTATAGATCCGTTGCTAATTAAAAATATCTTTTTCCTAGCCCAAAAATTCACAGACCAATCTCTGATGTTTCTTGAAGAGAAAGATCTGATATCCATTGGAATCACTCAAATGGGACCTCGGTTCATAATCCTATCAATTGTTAATAGATTGAAGGAAGCATCGTTCAGAGACCCGGAACCGGGAGAACTCTAGAGTAACATTTGAAATAGGCCTATGTCCAAAACGTAAACAAACCAGAAAATGAATTTTAAATTTTGACCGTCATTATTCAATTCATATTTAAGAAAATTGAAGTATTTTAGGCATTTATATTGTTCACAATAACAATAGTAACTGTATCTCAGTATACAACATCCAAAATATGCGAAAAGCTTTCAAAATTATATGAAAATCGATAACAATATAATTTCTTAAATTAATAAGCCTTTTTTGTGAATCTTTCAATGGATAGGCCCTTTTTGTTAAGCCGTTGTGCTTGTCATCAGAAATGGTAGGCCCTTTGCTAAGCCTTTTCGCAACGTCAAATAAATTCAAAACAAATCATCGGCCCTGCCTCAAGCAGTAGGGCCTAGCTCTGGTTTGAAACTTTTCAATCATCGGCCCTTCTACGCCACTAGGCTTATCAATGAAATGAAATAAATGAATGGTTGGCCGTTTTAGCGTGCGGGCCTATTGATGAATCGAAAAATTTCGTTGATCGGCCGTTTCGAAAATCGAGTTATTTTTAATGATTTTTCTCGATTATGCGGAACTTTCCTACACGATTAGTAGCTATCAAGCAGTGCTAAAGAATGGTATCAAAACCCGATTTATTTACGTTTTGGACATAGGCCCATTTCAAATGTTACTCTAGAACTCAGTCAAGATGGCTTGAGTGCTGGAGCTTCGACGTCTAGCCAGAGACAAGAAACCGAAAATCATCAGCAAGAATCAGCACCCATCACAAAGCAGGTAAAGAATATAATACCATTAAACACATTAAAGAACAATAATTGTTAGTTATTTAGTCAAACTATTCGTTGTAGATTCGTGAAGTGTTAGTAAATAACGCCAAGTTCCGGAAGATTGTCTACGGTAAACTGGATTTGGATGTGGTTCCTATCCACACAGAACTGCTACTGATGGTACGCATTCTCTGCAACGATATGGTGTCCAGGATGTTGAATGAGAAAATGTAAGTACCTAAATAATATTTTTTTGTTTCTTAAAATGTAGGTTTGTATTAGGATTAATTTGACAGTGAGCATGCATAAGGGCCTATACGCGATGATCGATTCTCTTCGTCGATTTTCTCTTTTGTTAATAACTCGCTAGATTTAACGTTTCTCGGTGCGTTTGCTGTTGCTTTTGATAGCCAATACAACCTGTTACTACTCTGCATTGAACAAATTCTAGAAAATTGTTTCGCTTAGCTGTAGCAATGCAAAGAGAAAATCGATGAAGAGAATCGATCATCGCGTATTCGCCCTTATGAATGCTCACTGTCGAATTCAACTTCCTTAATAGTTGCTGGTTTCTCGTCGTCGG